TACACCACAACACATACAACACACACAGCAAAACTACATCACACCACATATACAAACACACACTAACCACAACCACACCAACACACACAAAACACATATACACACACACACAAAACAGTACACAACCTCAACAAACACTGCAACACATACTACACACCACATAACACGCTCCACAACCCATATCATACTCCTACAAGCACACACATACAGCACACACATACAAACCCACATTTTAACCATAAATGCACAAGAATACATCGTATCTAGCTGTGAAGCCAATGAATGACTTGACTTCACCAAATCATTGGATTCGATTAAGATCTTCAGGTTACTTTCCAGTAATACGTATACTTCCTTTGGTTCCTCGTAGTTGCGTCGAGCAATCTCGCCCCCGGTAGGATGTCAGATATAATCCTTCTTCTCATCCTAGTGCTTCACACGTACCTTAAGGACACGTTTGCAGCGCTTCCTCACTATTAAATCACAAAAATAAATAGAGAAATGTATTGTAATCCAGTGAGGCGACCAACATAGTACAATTTAACAAAAATAATTAAGTAATACGAGATTTTAAAGAAATACCCCTTACAAAACTCGTTCTTTAAATAATTTCATTCACATGTCCAGAAACATACACAATTTTACACGAATATCTTTTAAATATTTGTGTTACCTTTTAGACAGGTATATCTCTAAAAATTACACTTCTAGATAATATGTTGCGAATATAGAATTTGCATGTGTAATGCGAGTCGAAATAGATTTAGTATATAGTCTTTACACAAACGTGTGCCAGAATGTGCTCTCCACTCCTCAAAGAAATAATATAACAACTAAAATAAACTGGCTGACATTTCGGCAATCTTTGGTGGTGTTGTGATACTATAATCAATATTTACAACTCTGTAGGTGATAAAGGTGGTAACTACCCCAGTAGGGTCAGGAGGTGTGAAAGAAATACACTAAGGAGTGTGCGAGATAGAATTAACAAGAGAAAATGTAATATAAAATGTAGAATGAGATGTGATTAAAAAAAATGCAATAAAGAATGCATAGAGGCCAGGTGAGCAGCTCCTGGCCTATGCGGCCAAGGGACGTAAAAGCGCTCCCGTTCCAACGAGCAGGCGGAAGCTTTTAATGGTGGAAACATGGTTAGGAATTGAAGTCCTGTATCGTTCTTGTCACAGCTGGGCTTAAGTAAGTAGCCTTATCTAGACTAGTTGTAACAGCATTCCAGTTTCTATAGTCGAGGTATCTATTTTCGTCAAGGCGGGAAAACAGTTCTGTGTCTACTCTACTACATGTCACCATGTTTAATTACTTTCTTGGTGGTGCTACCATTCTGTGCGTGTCTTTTCCAAGTACCTTACAAGATGGAAATGAATGGTGCGCATTCGCAATAATGCTCACTTTAGCACAGACCTGAATAATAACTCTCCATCTTAAATAACATTTTTGACGTTTTCTATAAATGAATCTGAAGAAAAAACATTTCATATCCTCAAAAACAATATTCTCCCAATATTTATTTGCTCCCAAAGCGCAGCACAAAAGGCCACGATAAAATGTTTGACAAAAACTTGTTTGGATATAATTGCACCTATAAATGCTATTCCAAGTTTCATAAGTTTATGGAAAGACCCAAAGCTTTAGTGTTTTGGTTCTCCATACCAAACCCCACCTTCACGACTATTTTGGAAGGTTTATTTGGGGGGGAATAATAGAGCTGCTTTAATTCAAAGATCCAGTTGCGGACGCATACGGCTGGTCTCATTATAAAATTGTGAAGACAGTGGAAGGCGGTAAAAACCTTGTGTGCGGAGAAGTCTGATAGACGCTAGCCCTTTTTTCGCGTTGATTTTAAGGAACTTCTGTGACATTACAGAAACTGGCGAGTTCAGGTACTTTCAGGTATATGACAGCCGGTCCGGATCCTCTGTTATCAGATGTAATAGTAACATGTTTGGTAATAAGATACATACGTTTATAAAACAATAACACCCTCTTGAGGGACACTTCATTTTCTCCGAAGGAGCCTTGACACTGAGAATGGATTCCTGTGTTACTGGAGCGTGCACGTGCCGCGCTGTTTCATACATTATCACATATGCGGTTAGAATTGGGGTACTTGAGGCTCGGAGAAGGGCCACCGAAATGCAACAACAATTAAGCGATCACATAAACATCTTGAATTGTGTGTGTGTGTGTGTGTGTGTGTGTGTGTGTGTGTGTATGTGTGTGTAGACAGACCTCCCCGTCCTCTGCAGCTCTGGTCCGGTGTGATGCTCCGCCTCCTTCCCCATGTCAGAGCTGTAGGCGGAGCCGTTAGGGACTGACGCCATCTTCCTCTTCTCCTGCAGAGACAGAGGAGGGAGCAGAGCGTCATCAGGTCTCAGGTGGTCTCAGGTGGTCTCAGGCGGTCTCGCTGCAGGTCTTACCTGAGACGGGACGCTCTTTGGGGGTTCGATGCGGATGCTGGGGTCCCATTCACCTGGAGGCAGCACGGTCACCTGGTCCAGGAACTCATCGATCCCCGACAGCAGGTCGTTCCTGTCCTTCGCTTTGTACGCCACGTCATGGAAGATCTACGGGAGAGAGAGAGAGAGAGAGACAGAAAGACAGAGAGAGAGACAGAGAACAAACAGTTTCTCTATTTGTCCTTTTTAACCACTCGTCTCTGTGATGTACTTCAGACTGAGGACTTCCTGTTTGAGACTTCCTGTTTCCGGTCTCTCACCTCGTCTGTCATCAGCGTGGCAATGGAGCGTCCAATCTCGTGGTACTGTGGACCTTTTCCAAACGGACCAAGCAGCAGGAAGAGAAACCTGAAGGACACACACACACACACACACACACACACACACACACACACACACACACACACACACACACACACACACGATGACCTTTGACCCCCTGTTGAAGCTGGTCAGTTTGTCCTGGTCAGAGCTGCAGTCACACGTGTACGATCAGAGACTCAGACTTCAGGTCTGATCCAGAACCAGGTCCTGGGGGCGGGGTTTACCTGGTGGGCACAGGGACCTCGGTGAGGCCGGTCAGCAGCACGGCGGGGGACAGACGAATGAAGGCGATGATGGGTCGCTCCAGGAAGTCGACCTCGCCCACCAGGACGTTTGAGGCCTCGGCTCCAGGAGGAATCTTCTTCATGAAGTTCATGTCCACCTGAAACACATGATCCAGACTGGGACCACAGGACTGAGACCACAGGACAGACCACGAGACCTGGACCCCAGGACTGAGACCCCAGGACTGAGACCCCAGGACTGAGATCACAGGACTGAGACCACAGGACTGAGACCACAGGACCTGGCTGTAATGCAGGCTGCAGCCTGCAGGGAGCAGTAGCAGACAGCTGTGGGACAAGTCCTGAACTTCACTGTCTCACACAGCGATTATCAGTCAGTTCATTTTCATGATCAGTTAATCAGCCTATTGTTTTATTGATCATGTGATCTGATGGTGACATCACTTTATTTCAGACTGGTTTCTGACCAGTATCAGTCTGACTGTCCCAGTATCTGCTCACTGGGAGACACAAACCATCAAACACTGAAACATCGACCAGTCCGAGACCGGCACACACCACAGAACCACGACACACACACACACACACACACACACACACACACACACACACACAAGCCACTGATTGGTCGACAGCCGGTGATTGACAGGCGGACAGACTTACGGCGGGTTTCCTGCCGACCACTGGCAGCAAACAAACACAGTCGCAGTCCTGCCGAGAAACAAACTAGTCATCCTCCGAAACACAAACACAGCCTCTGATTGGCTCCCTCAGGTTCACACCGACCAATCAGGAGCTCAGCCTGAGACTTAAAGGTAAAGGTGACACCTGTTTATCACAGACCCCTAAAGCTCCATGTTTCTTCTTCTTCTTCTTCTGTGTTTTATTTGAAGTGTTGATCCATCAGAAGATATAAAAACCATCTCAGTGTAGTTTTACATCTCCTCTCTCAGGCTTCTCTCTGGAGCTCTAGTAACAACAGGTCTGTGAGCCAATCAGAAGAGAGGAGGCTCTGAGCCTCTCTGTATTAATATAGAACCTAGACCTGCTTTATAATCAATCAATAATCATTATAATCAATCATACCTTTAGACTGGATGGAGCTTTAATATGTCACACTCGTCATCTAGCCATGAATCCTGTGGAGAGCTGTTAACAAATATTCTTAATTCAACTGTATGATCCAAGCGCACCTACAGAGCGCACTGTATGACGCTGCAGCCGCAGGTCAGCTGAGTGAATCAGGAAGCGGCGTCACACAGTGCGCCCCGGTGCGCCTGTGCGTAGGAACATGGTAGTTCAGTGGTTGAAAAACGTAGTGCCAAAGGAAAGTTGTGTTTTCTCTGGTGGCCCCGCCCACAGCAGCTCATCACTCTGACACTCTGCAGCAGGGAATGTCCCACTAACATATGACGACCTCACACACCCCCACGTCAGAAACTGAACTGTCCCTTTAATGTTTAGAGCAGAAAACACAACAGGAGTGCATCATGGGAGCTGCAGTTGTTAAGGAGCATTATTAACCTGTCGGTAACGTGTCAGTGAAACAGGCGCTCACCTTGCTGAAGCCCACTGTGCTGTTTTCACGGCTTCCTCCGTTGATGCGACTCTCTCCGTGTTTGCTGTTGTCGAGGTTTCCTGGAGCCGACTGAGGAGACGCCAGCAGACCTGCGGGACACCGAGACGCCGTCAGTTCAAACAGAGGACGTTCACGCAACGTCCTCCTCATTCTATTCTTTTATTTTTGACAACTTTATTTTCAGGAAACAAACTCCTAAAGAATAAGACTAAAGAGCAGTCAGCTCCAGTTTGACTCGTCAACAAATCCTGTTTATTTAAAAGCTGTAGTTCACTCTGATGTATTACATACATATACATATACACACTCACTCACTCACACACACACACACACACACACACACACACACACACACACACACACACATACCTTCTGTTCATGTGACATTTATAGGAAATACATGAAATAACCAGGTTCCTGATGTTTGTCCTGATGCGACTAAAGAGCTTCACGATGAGCGTCTGTCAGTTTGTTTGATGGTTTATGAAACATGAAGTATAAAATTATCATCCAATAACTGAATTACACCTTTTCAGTCAACTTCATTCCAACTCATCAGCACAACTTTTAAACTTTCTTTGCTCATTTTATGATCAAAACCTCATTAACATAAAAACAGAGTAAAAACAAAAAGGACTGTTACGATCAGAGGAACGTGTTGACAGATGGTCACAGACGTGTATGAAACCATTTCAACAGTGTGACCCATTGTAGTAAAAATTCAATGAAAATATTGACCATTAAGTACATTTGTAAAAAGTGTGGTCAGGAACCATGCGTGTTATTTTCAGTTGATGATGTGACAGAAAACCAGATTTCTGATATGAAAACATCTGGAAACAAGACGACGACAGGAGGATAAACTGGTCTGGGACATTTGTGATGTGATGGTTATTTTATAAATAAAGTTGACTTGTATTCTCCACCCCCACCCCCCCACACTGATCAGCTGCTGTGTGGGGGGGTGGGGTTAAAGAGTCTGATTTAAACCTCCCCCACACACACTTCTATCTTTGTGAGGAAACTCATTCCTGAGCCCTTAAACCATAAACCTGACCCCGACCCTAAAACCAAGTCATGAGGACGCAGCAGAATGTCAGACGTCTACAACTGAAATTGGTCCCCACACACACACACACACACACACACACACACACACACACACACACACACACACACACACACACACACACACACACACACACACACAAGGTTCCTGTTACAGTCCAGCAGGGCAGCATGAAGTTAAATGTCAGAGTGAACAGATTCTCCGTCGTTCACTCTGATCTGTTCAATAAAGTTGATTCAAACAACAGGAAGTTTAAATAGGGAAACTGGAGGGTTGGGAGGGTCAGTCTGACGGCTGCATGAAAAACACTTATCATGTGACTTAATTTGATTTTTGTGAAGAATGAATAAAGTGAATAAATAACTTGTCACAGCTGGACCTGGTCCTGGATCTGTTTACAAAGGCACATCAGTCCAGATGTTTTCCAGAGTGTGAGTTACTGCGGTCTGGTTGAGTCAGCAGGTCGCTGTGGTCCGTCAGTCGTCTCACTCCGTTTCCTGTTTGTGTGGATGAAAGGCGTCGACGTCAGCGTGTGAACAGTGACTCAGTAACGAGGTGTGAGAGGGGTTCACCTCCACAGATCATTAACACACTCATCGTCACTGTTGACTCCCTCTGCTGACTCCCACCACGCAGCTCCCTTCCTACAGGAGAAACCAAATCCACAGAAGCTGCAGCACCGCGTCCAAAACCAGAACCAAACCACCGCCGACACAGAAACAGGAGGGTTTATCTCAGGGTCGACTCTCTTCCTCCACACAGAGTTACAAACATCAGTCCAGGTTCAGACCTTTAACCCGTTTGAGGCTGTTGTAGTGAAAGCGTCTCCACCAGCTGTTGTGACTTATAGAAACACATGGACCCCACCTTCCTTCACTCAGGTGTTTCACAGTTTTTATTTCCATTTGTTCCACCAGATTCATACTGACATTATTTTCAACAGATCAAATCACTGTCTATTTTTATTCTTGGTCATTTTTGCTTTTCATGAATTTCTCCTAGGGGATAAATAAAGTATCTATCTATCTATCTATCTATCGTCTATCTTTCCATCCATCTATCTCCGTCTATGTATAATGGGGTCGTGACAGTGAGAGAGAGACGGGAAAGTTGAGAGAGAGAGAGAGAGAGGTAACAACAGGCTCCACCAGGTGATCTCCACTGTCAGTTTTCACAGGTATAAATGAAGGTGTAGCAGGTCACTGCTGTGTTCTACGATATAAACGTGATTAATGGCTCCTGACAGGTTAGAAAGCTGCTGCCCTGTTGTTGTTTGTTGTTGTGAGCAGATGTTCTGCAGCTGGATCAGTTCTCATGCGTCACACTCAGCAGTTAGTGTTTAGTCTGGAGCTCAGAGGGAAGACGTCCACACCGTGCAGGTATTTGCCTGAGAGACTCTCCTGACAGGAGAGGTGGCCCTGGCCCTGGCCCTGGCCCTGGTCCTGGTCCTGGTCCTGGTCCTCCTCTTCAGGGGGATGAACCACCACCTCAGGGATCCCTCGACACAGCCCCTCCGGAGCAGAGCAGCGATGTGGAGAGCTGGAGGGAGGGGCGTCATGGAGGGAGTGGGCGAGGGGGGGCTCCGAGAAGCCATGAGGATACAGAGTGGGAGGAGGCAGCGAGGGAGGGAGGAGATGTCCGAACGGGTCGGAGATGTCGCCTGAGGCGACAGAGGAGTGGCAGAGGAGGTGGGGAGGAGGAGAGAGGAGAGAGGAGGAGGAGAGAGGAGATGGAGATGAGGAGAGGAAAGGAGGAGAGAGGAGAGAGGAGATGGAGATGAGAGGAGAGGAAAGGAGGAGAGAGGAGATGGAGATGAGGAGGAGGATAGAGGAGAGAGGAGAGAGGAGAGTAAACAGAACCATCAGATCTCTGATCGATGTTCAGCAGGTGACAGAAGCTCTGATCACACCTGTACCTGCTCCATGCAGCATCATGGGTAAACTTATGGACGGATTATCTCACAATGGGCCCCTGGGAAAAGACGTAACCCCCCCCACATGAGAGAAAGACCCCCCCAGACTGAAGAAGACAAATGATGTGTTCTCTGGAGTGTCTGTGTGTCTCTGCAGCTGAGGCTCTGCTCCAGGGGATCAATAATCAATAATCCATCCACTGAGATACCTCACACACATAACCAGAGTATCAGTGTATCTGATCAGTACAAACAACAACACTAATGTGAGGGGTGTGTTAAGAGATAAAACTGCAGGTAGAGGGTTAGAAATATGAAGCATCAACTGCTATGACACACACACACACACGCATGCGCACACACACACACACACACACACGCATGCGCGCACACACACACACACACACACACACACACACACACACACACACACAGACACACACACACACTCTGGTCTCTGCAGCAGAACTAAAACATTCCTCCCTCACAAACAGGATTTGTGAGTGCGGATATTAAAGCGCTGACTCGCTGTCACCCGGTGTCAGCTGGTTATTAGCTCGCCGACTCGGCCGCTCGGGTCGGGTTAGTGCTGACCGGCGGGAAACAGAACAAACAGGCTCCCAGTAAATATTAAACCACGTTACAGTTCAGGTCACAGCAGTCTGTGAGGAACAGCTCAGCACAGGTGAGACTCAGACAACATGCGACATGGTGACGTGCACCGATCAGAGACCCGTCGTCTTGTCACTCTGTTACCTCGACCAATCAGGATGAATACACTCTGAACTCTACCCGGCAACAGACGACTGACACAAAGTGGAGGAGTTCTGCAGAACTCACAGCAACAAGAGGGAAATATGAAAGACAAGTTATTCACACGATGGTTGTTAGCATCATGTTTCTAACACTGAACATATTAGCCATGTGATGCTAACTTACCCATGATCCTCCCTGGGTTTCTAACTGTTTAGAACTTGAACTAAACTTCAGAGGAACCTGATAATTAAGAGGTCTGAATTCATCAACATGCTCCTCAGACACTTAAAGAACCAGAGGAACCCACAGATCTGCAGAACCTCAGAATGACAAGAGCGCCGCGCTCTCACCGTTGCGTTCCAGTAAATGGGGGTCGGAGTGTTTCTTGCCTATGTCGGCGAAGGATCGAACCAGCGGGATTCGGTTGCTCAGCTTCTTCTCGTTCTGGTGGTGGTGACGCTTCAACATGGCCTCCCTCACCTTCTCTCGAACGCCCTCCTCTAGCTGACCCGACACCAGCATGCTGTCGATCACCATGTCTGATGATGAGAGGTTAGCTTAAAAATGACATCATTTGTAAACACACAGGAGCACATCAGCACGGGGATACCGTGGCGCCGGGCGGTTTGCTGACCTGCGATCTCCTCGATGGTGTTGGCTCTCATGTCGAGCAGCACGGTGCCGTTCAGGATGCAGGAGCGCAGCTCGAACAGACTGTGAAGAGACAACGTGGCCACGTACGGTTTACTCCACCGCTCACCGCCGTCCTCCACGTCCTCCTCAAACTTTAACCACCTGAAGAGAGAGACACACACACACACACACACACACACACACACACACACACACACACACGCGCGCACACACACACACACACACGGTCAGGTAAATCAATCAGACATTTCCAGACTGTTCGGAGTTTTTAAAGCTCCATGTTTCCTTCTTCTTCTGTGTTTTATTTGAAGTGTTGATCCATAAGAAGATATTAAAACCATCTCAGTGTAGTTTTACATCTCCTCTCTCAGGCTTCTCTCTGCAGCTCTAGTAACAACAGGTCTGTGAGCCAATCAGAAGAGAGGAGGCTCTGAGCCTCTCTTCTGATTGGCTGACTGTTTTCTGAATGATTCAATAAAAATAAAGCAGATTTCAGGTAAAAACACTCAGAGAAACCAAATCCTGTAAAGGTTTGGATGGTGGGTCCAGGTGGGCGGGGCTTGGTGACTGCTTTGTTGTGACATCACAAAGTTCCAGAAGTCCTGACGGCTGGTTTTGAGGCTCAGTTTCTGAATACAGGCTGTGTGCATTTCTCTGTGGACTGAGGCTTTGATACTTTCACAGTATTAATATAGAACCTGGACCTAGAACCTAGAACATATCAACTCTACAGTGTAAACACGATGTGAAATGTTTTGTTCGGTTCTTGAACAGCTCACGTTCCTTTCTGCTCACACTGCTGTGAAACAGGATTAAAATTATTTACAATTTTAAACTAAAGGTTTATCCTGAACAGAGAGGAAAGGATTACCATGAGAGGAAGATGAAGGTATGTCATTCATCATCATCATTATCATCATCATCATCACAGAGAAACACCTGAGCAAACATTTACTCAGCATCAAAGTTTTAAAACCATCAAATAAACTGAGGGTGGAGTATTTTACAAGAAGACTGAGGCTGTTGTCCTGAGTGAGTTAAATGTAAACAAAGTGTGGGTGTGTCCTCACCTGGCCGTCTCCTTCCACTCCTGGACCTCTCCGTCTCTGAAGGCGAGCTCGTCCAGCTCGGTGAACAGGTCATGGGGGATGTGCTCCTCATCATCGTCCTCTGTCCCGAGGATGAACTGGACTCTCTGAGACGGCGTATCTGCAGGGACAGAAGACACACACACGCACACACACACACACACACACAATCACATCGTCTGCGTCTCACACTCTGTTAAAGACTGTGACCGGGCCGGAGCCGGACCGTTACTGGGCGACTCTCGTCCGTCCTCTCGGTCTGAGCGGTCCCGTCGTTTCCGGTGATGTCTGTGTCCTCGGTGGCGATGCCGTCTCCGGCTCTGACGGCCCAGAGGAACGTGAACCCCGACGTACACCGCCCTGTGACCTGACGGAGCAGAAATCAACAGTCAGAAATCTGAAAGTCCTGATCAAATCTGACCAAGAGAAAATCCATTAAACTCACTCTCCAGTTCCTCTTTCTCAAAGTTGGTGTGGAGGGTGGAGCTGGTCTTCCCCTGGTCCAGAACCGCCTCCTCGTCATTCCCCTGCAGCACACACACCGATCAACCAACAACACAAAGGTGCTTTTATTTCACACACACACACACACACACACACACACGCACACACACACAGAGAGCAACACACACACTGGGGGGCTGAACAGTCACCACATTACACGCAAATAATCATCATCGCCATAGTTACACGTTCTGACCCCAAAGGTCGAGAATGAACGTGATCAAACAGTGAAGTCCACAGAGCTCAGTGTGTTTCTGTGTCTGATGTTAAATCAGCTCTGATGACCCCCCCCCCCAACAGTCAATCTGTTAGAGGAGGTCTTCACAGAACAGAACTGTCGACCTCGCCTCCACAGGAAGCCCCGCCCTTCTCTTTCTGATGTTTTTCTAAAAGCGTAGATGACCGGAGTGTTGTCCACATCCACATAAGTGTGTGTGTGTGTGTGTGTGTGAGAGGGGGTCCATCCGGTCCGTCAGGGTTAAATACAGATTTCACACTCTGGTGGACACACACACAGCTCAGAGGATTCCTCCCTTCCTGTCATCACAGCGCCTGTTATCATGCGGCCCGACGCCACGCTCACCAGCAGGAAGCGGAGACACGTGGGCACCGCCGTGTCTGCTTCACTTGTTCTACAGCGGTCAGTCACCGTGGTGTGCACTGCTCTTGCTTCAGTCTCAGACCTGGACCAGGTTCTGGTACCAGAGAAATGAAGTGGCTGAATCCACACCAACACCACGCCCTTCATGAAGGAGGAGTCATTACTGACTGCATCAGTTTCAGCTCGTGGTCATGATACTGGCTTCCCGCTCTTTTCCAGAACAGTCTCAGTGATGATCTATATGACTGACAGGACTCACAACAAACACCTCCAGTTCCTATCGGAGCAAATTTAAAATAAGTGCAATCTAGACTTATTATGGTCTGTTTCACCTGAACAACACAGTACTGGGTTTGAAGTGACGCTAACAAAGATGCTAGCGGAGTACAAAGTGCTGTTAGCTAGTATTTAGCCGTGTTTGGCTAACATACAGTTGGGCTCCACATTTCTTATCATCAACTCTCACAATGAACCAACACAAACCTGAAACCTTTAGCTGCAGGCTAAACAAGCTAGCAAGCTAGTGAGGCTAACAAACATCACCTGCTGCAGGTTGGAAGAGTTACATGATCCTTTAAATCAGCCTGTCTCACAGTGTGGACCTGGTTCAGCTGCTGGTTACCGTCTCAGTGTTGTGGTGCGTTCAGGTGCACACACGTGATAAAACAAAGTGAGCGGACAAGTGAAAAGAGCAGACAAGATAATCTGTTGAAAACATCCAGCTTCATGTTTCTAAAAATAAAATTCGCCTTGAAGGAATCTGATGACGGATGATCAGGTGTCAGAGTTACAGTGAGCGGAGGAACCAAACGTCCCATGATGCTCTTTTCACGTTCTGTGACCTTAAGCTGCCTAACATCTGACAGCAGCAGCCGATGAGCTCAGAAGTCAGTGTGTTTAAGGTCGGAACACTTTAATAATCTTTACAGATGAATGATTTCACTCTGTGTTATGTTCAGTGAACATCAGAGGAAAAGAGTTTTCTATTTGTTTTTTGACTTTCTGTTTCTGCAGTTTCACCAAGTTCAAACTGTTTCAGACTTTTTAAACATCATATATAATAATAATAATAATAATAATTCATGGACATTTCTTCCTCTCTTCTGTCAGAATTATCTTTAAACACGACCTGGAGGAGCAGCAGAAAACAGACGGATTGACCAGTGAAATATTTACTAATAAATTCACATCTTTTACATCTGGCAGAACAGAACTGGAATTTTTCAGCCAGTTTATATATTTTATAAATATTATTTCTCTCTGTCAGTTGCTACGACAACATTTAAGTCGTGAACAGTGAACTGGATTTCTACAGGTTTTTTGTTCTGGGAACCTGACGGCCATGTTTCAGTTTTCATCCGGACCTGGTGATTAAACCATGAATGAAAATAACTGGCAGATTAATCAGCAATGAAAATGATCCATATATTTGGATTCAGTGTCGTCATGGCGATGTGAGCATGCACAGTAGTCTCATCACAGGATGTGTGATGTCAAGTGAAGATAATTAACTCCAACATGTCAGTCTGTCTGATGACAAGCTCTTTTTCTTTTGTCATGTTTTTTGTTTTGACATTTTGATTCTGTGTTGATTGTATTTTTTAATGTTGTGCAGCTGTTTGATCAGCTGTTTGTTTTTAAACTCTAAATAAATTAGATTTGATTTAAAGGTTCCTGGATACATGATGAGTGACCTGCAGGCTCTGCACACACAGTGAACCACCAATTGGTAATTGTTATTACTGAACAATTACCCATATTTAATATAGTTAAGAATATTATTATTATTATATAAGAATATAACTTTTTTTGATAAAGGTCAAATGTGTCACAACAGACCATAAATTTAGAGATTCCTCACCTTATAGATCACAGCAAAAGTCACATCAGCATCATTTTTTATTTTTTCATTTCCACTGAAATCGTGACTAATCAACATCTGCCAAAATAATCACTATATGATTTTTTCTGCATATCATTCAGCTCAATATGAAATCATGTCAGCTGCAGAAAACATGGGGTTGGTGTTAATAAACAACAACACACTTGGACTGGTACATATATATGTATACACACAGATATATACAGTATGTATACACACACACATATACAGTGTGTATGCACGCACACATATACAGTGTGTATACACACACATATATACAGTGTGTATACAAACACATATATACAGTATGTATGCACACACATATATACAGTATGTATGTCAGGGAGAAAAACAATGCAATGAAAGTTTTTTCCAACATCATGCAGCCCTGAATGTGATTCATGATTTTGAGCTGTAATAGATCATCATTGCATTAATCAACTTTCAGAATATTTGCACATTAGACAGAGGCAGGATGTGTGTGTGTGTGTGTGTGTGTGTGTGTGTGTGTGTGTGTGTGTGTGTGTGTATGTGTTCTCTTCTGTCACTGAGCTCTTTTCCTGTTTAAACTGTCTCATTTCCTCAAATGTTTCATGAAGTCAAACACATCAGTTACTACGTCAAACTGTGTGTGTGTGTGTGTGTGTGTGTGTGTGTGTGTGTGTGTGTGTGTGTGTGTGTGTGTGTGTGTGTGTGTGTGTGTGTGTGTGAGAGAGAGAGAGAGAGAAGTGAACCCACATGAGCCCGACCACAGACTTCTCATGCTGTCACACTGCAGACAGTGATAGCAGCAGACACATACCAGCGACATGGCTCTGGTCACTCTCTGACTGGCGATATCTCCCCAGAAATCTGCCATCACTGCTGAAGGCGTCAAATCAACTCCTCTGACTCCACCGAGAGAAAGACGTCCAGAGCAAGAGACAAACTCTGTGGTGGTGAAATCCTCCCCACAGACTGGAAACAGAGATCCAGCAGCTGGAACGTAAACTGACTGTCAACAGTGTGGCTCTGCGAGTCATTCAGGTTCCCTCAGTAAATACAGACGCTGAGCTGCAGCAGAGCCTCGGCTATGATTCGTGTATTTATAGCAGAGCGTGTTGCTTCACTGAGCGCCTGTCAGAGCAGAGAGCCTGAAGTCTGCAAACGCAGCAACAGGAGGCGGGGTGTCACGCACATTTCTGAGCAGGAAAGAGACAAACAGACAAGGTCAAGTCCTGAACTGAACCTGGACTACTTACACATCTGACACCTCATCTGTGTCGTATCTACAGGGACCATCAAGTCCAGAGTCTAAACCACACAATACCAGACACATCAAGACCAACATGTCCCAAGATTAAAACTCCTAAATCAAGACCAACATGTCCCAAGTCACGTCTTTAGACCAGAGCAACAGGTCACATGTTAAGTCCAGTGTCGAGTCCCAAGCTGAAAGTCCTGAGTCAAGTCAAGACCAGTTCCCATGTGACGCACAAGGTCAGGAAGTCCGAATTTAAAAGGACGAATCAAGAACACCACGTTCCCGAGTCAAGAGCAACAAGTCTGAAGTTAAATCCCGTCTTAAGTCCACACCAAGACCAACAAGTCCCAAATCAAGACCAACGAGCTCCGAGCTCCAGAGCAACATGTTTCAAAGCGACCAGAGTCACATCCAGACTAAGACAAGAGAAGGTCCAGTCTGGAATAACACGTGGGAAGTGTCGATGCTTCGCACCGTTTACGTTGAAGCATCAAACGTGCGAGTTCCTTAAACAGAGGCCTGATGACGACCATGACATCCTGTGACCTCACGACCAGACAGTCAGTATCTACAGACTGTTTCTATCTGCTGTTGTTTCACTGAGAGATGCTTTTTAGTTCTTGGCACTTTATTTCTTTATGTTGGGAATTTTTTATTTGTAAAATAATTATTTTAATTCTCTTTATTATTTCCTGTCAAGTTAACCAAAGGATTAATCGACTAATCAGAAAATAATCGATAAATGAATTCAGCACATTCACACACATTGTGTCACGAGTATGAACAGCAGGAATAGGTGAAGACGTAGGTGTCTGAGCCTGTCCTTTAATTTTTCTCATTTCTTTGTTGTTCCATCGTCTTCTGACCTTTGACCTTACTCCATGGCTGCTCTTTAATCTGGAGCTGATGCTCCTGTTGCCGCGAGTCTCTGTGTGACAGTGGTTGGTGTGATCAGCTGTAGTAGAAACAAACGAACAGGGTCCTCACTCGTGTTTCTCTGAATCAGCTGCTAAAACATTTGGAGGTAACAACAGATGATTTCCATGTTGCAGGAACGCCCCCTCCCTCCCTGAGCCTCGGTCTCCAGCTCAGGAATTCAACTGAGACACAACAACAAGCTGCGACACGAGCTCCTAACACACACACACAAACACACACACAAACACACACACACACCCTAACCCTAACCCCGAATACAGACACAGAGCTCGACTCACAAAAGTAACAAGAACAACTTTAAATGTCATCTGACAAATATTCACAAGCAGCTTTTTTCTAAACTAAGATTTAGAAGAGAAATGAGAACCAAATCAAAGATTTAAAGCTCAATCCAGTGAAAAAAATCAATACTCAGATACTAATTAATACTAAAATGAGTATCGGATCAGATACTCATTTGCAACAGCATCGAGACAACGGTTCTGTCTTCACCTCCTTCAGTTGACACACAGCTTCATACAGCAGCACTGCAGACAGGCAGCCCCTCCCCCCACTAGCAGCTGAACACAAGAACGCTAGTTAACGTTCACAACACGGAGCTGGTGTCTCCAGCATAAAGCTAAATTAACATGGTGGAGTGCTGCTGCTGAAGAACCTTCGCAACCTGTTTTAGTTTAAAATGAAAAAAGTAAAAGTACCGTTTGGAATTATTTTTGCATTATTATTTTATCTGGCCAACGGCACACGTTAACGTTAGCCGTTTAACTCTTAGCAATTAGGAGATAGCCACATTAGCCATCTGTTAAGTTATCATTAAGCTAGCGGCTCAGTGAGGAAGTAAAAGATGAGCCTCAGTTTTACATCTTTTCAAGTTAAACAAAATATGAATGATAGAGAATTTTTACTTAAAAGACTTTAGTTGAGGCAGCTCTGTCTGATGAACTCCACATTCAACCACACCTGCACAAAGAGGTCCGTACAGGTGAGCTGTGATGTCACAGGACAGGCTTCAGTGTTTGGCTCAGGGGCACTTCAGCAGGGAGGTGAGGGTCTGAACTGATTCTACAGTCAGTGCACAAACAATTAACACAAACAATGAGGCGCTGACGAGGTGACCTCCAAAATAAAATTCATCTGCAACGATCAAGCTTCTCGAAGGTGGAAATAACTATTGATTAATCTGTTGATCATTTTATCAGTTTCTGTTTTGATGATTTAATGAGAGAAAACAGAGAAAACCAGGAAATCGTCAGAGAATCAGAAAACACTCGAAAACTGACTTTAAAGATGAATCAATGATCAAAATGCTTTCTGATTAAACTTCTGTCCACTCACTAATCAATTAATTAACCACACACACACGCACGCACACACACACACACACACACACACACACACACACACACAAAAAACAGTTTTGCTCCCAGGACTCCCCAGAGAGCAGAGACATGTCTTCCAGTTTGTTGCTCCCATATTAGGAAAACCAGCTGAGAGGGAAAAACCACATCTGGACTGGAAGCACGTTCACTAAACACACCGGGAACTGTGGGAAAATTCACACCAGCCAACACACACACACACACACACACACACACACAAAGTTACAAGTTACTGTCAACGACAGACTTTCTAACTGTGAGATCAGCCAATCAGAAAGCAGCGACGGCTCCCGTCATTCAGTTCAAACTGAGATCCATCAGTCAGGAGATCAAGGTTCCCAGAGGATGAACCCTAATGACCTCACCTCTTTACTAGACTTTATTAAATCTATTAAAATCTACTGGTCAGGTTTTCATGAACCTGTTCCTGCTCTCCAGAGGATGAACCTTCAGGATCTTTATGATCACATGATGTTTCCTCTGGCTCCATGCCACACAGACTCACCTGTGTGCTGAATATACACTGTGGTGATGTAATGCACTATAACATAACATACTATAATACAATGTACTATAACATACTATAATATAAGATATAACATACTATAATATAATGTATCATAATATAACAATATAATATATAACACACTGTACATTAGTGTAAGTGCATATGGAGCTGCAGTTTAATGATTAATTTATGAACAGACATTAAAGACATTCAGTCTTGTCTTAGACTCATTGCTTTATATTTACACTGCACAACCAAGCAGAGGAGATACAGTGCCTTGCTCATGGGCACGTCTGACATTCACACCTCTGGTAACAGGTGAGTTTAACCCACACAGGTAACTTCTTCAGAACCACTCACATGACACACATGTGCTGCGAGTGTTCTCACTCATGAACACGTCAGATATTGAAATCAATTAAATAAAAGATATAACTAAAAGAAAACGGTGAATCGTGAGAAGAAAAAAAAGATGAAACGATTGATTATCAAATTATTTGCAAATCAATTTTCTGTCAATTGTTGCACCTCTAAAACAAAGAAAAAACTCCCTTTGTTAAGATGTTTGTAAGTTTCTTTTCTGCTGCTGAAAAGAATTCTGGGAACTGTAGGAAATCACTGACCACAGCCTCTAATACTCCGAGGCCAACTTTCTGCCTCCGGTCTTTGAGTGATTTGTTTTTTAGAGTCCAGCTGTTCTCACAGTCCAGCTGTTGTCATCAACATCTTTGTGTTTCTGTTGTCATGGCGACTGCAGGAGGATAAAACAGTGTTTTTATACTGGCTGCATCAAACAGAGGGGGTGTCAGATCATGGGATACAGCAGGCCAACCGCAGGCAAACACCCTCCACATGACACACCAGCTCTGCTATGATTCAACACACTACACATACTACATGCCACACACACACACACACACACACACACACACACACACACACACACACACACACACACACACAGGCCTGTTTCCAGACGTCTGAATCGCCGCCCACATCTGCACGTCTGTCAGTGATCAGAGTGATTGAGGTCTGCTGTTGTGGTGAAACTGCAGAGCCAATCAAAGCCCTTTAAGAAGCAGTGACATCAGTGTTTCCTGTACATTCAGCCACAATATCACCAGTGTCCACCGCAGCTCCCTATATACAGTATTATTCAATAAGTCAGAAGGTCTCCAGACTTGTCTCCCTGCTTTTTCTCTGTCAGTCTTTTTCTGGTTTCTGTTTGTCTTCAGCTGCTTATCTAACCTGAACAAATTTACATTTCTGGTGTATTTTCTCTGTTTGTTTTTTTTATTATCATTTTCAGTCTCATGACCTGAAGCGTGATCTCAACCTAAACTAAACAAGATACTTTCACAAAACTGGACAGAGATCGTTCACATGCACAGCAGCTGTAAATATCTGAAATAATCCACAAGACACACACACACACACACACACACACACACACACACACACACACACACACACACACACACACACACACACGAAGGAGGAAAGTATTGAGTCACATCTCTCTCACTGTTCCATTAAGGTGCAGGTAAACTTTAAAAAGCACAAGAGCAAAAGAGAAAACTAGAATCACGTCCTCGTGGCCGTATCCCTCCGCCACTCAGACTAGATTCAGGTTACAACTCTGTTCAGGGCTGTAAACTAACTTTTTGGCTCACCTGCCAAGGGGACCGGTAGATGAAAAAATCTACCGGCCAAGTAAATTTTTTACCGGCCAAGTAATAAATTGCCTCTTTTTGTTACATATACATCTGTTTCAGTACTTTTCATTGAGATAACAGTATTATATAGCTATACATATTTAGAAAAGAGAACAAAATATTATTCAAAATACATTTTTAATCTTTTGAATATTCAAAACATTGCGAACATGGACAGTGCCAGTACCAGTTAACCTCCTGTTCTGATAACAAATGATAATAACAAAATTCAAGGAAAACTAAAAAATAAAA